AATAAATGACTGTGGTGCAAGCCGCCTAGTCCATTCTATTCTGTCCCGGCAGCCTGAGCAATACATAGCTAATACACCAGGTGGTTCTGCCCGTCGCCACTCCTGAAAGGCCATCGTGAGGGTGAGCAGGGATTCTTCAAAGGAGATCATTCTTGAGCAGCGCGAAAGAAGGCTGGGATGACACAGCAGGGAGCCAAGACTGAAGACTCTGGGCCAGCATTGTGGCTCAGCATCAAAGCTGCTGCCTGTGATGCCAGCATCACATAGGGGCACTGGTTCAAATCCCAGCTTCTCCACTCCTGATCCAGCTCCCTGCTAATGCACCTGGAAAGGGCTGGGCCCCTTCCACCCACATGGGAGGGACAGATGGAGTTCTAGGCCCCTGGCTTTGACCTGGCTCAGTCCTGATTGTGTGGTCATTTAGGGGAGTGAACCAGCACATGGAAAATCTCTTTCTCCTCTCTGTAACTCTGCTTTTAAAATAAATTAAAAATAATAATTTTTTTTTTTTTAAAAAAAGAAGACTCAGCAAGAGCTTTAGAAAGTTCAAATGGACTAGGCTGGTGCCACGGCTCAATAGGCTAATCATCCACCTGTGGCACCAGCACCTCGGGTTCTAGTCCCGGTCGGGACGCCAGAATCTGTCCCGGTTGCTCCTCTTTCAGTCAAGCTCTCTGCTGTGGCCAGGGAGTGCAGTGGAGGATGGCCCAAGTGCTTGGGCTGTGCACCCGCATGGGAGACCAGGAGAAGCACCTGGCTCCTGGCTCTGGATCAGCATGGTGCGCTGGCCGCAGCACACCGGCTGCAGGGGCCATTGAGGGGTGAACCAACAGAAAAGGAAGACCTTTGTCTCTCTCTCTCTTACTGTCCACTCTGCCTGTACAAAAATTTAAAAAAAAAAAAAAACTTTAGAAACTTGAACTTTAGAAAGGTCAAGGCCAAGTGGACAGAGCCACATGGCTTGTCAAGGGGAAGCTGTGCTCCCGGCCCTGGAACACTGCTGCTCTCTCCTGCCACACTCTAAAGGCAGTGCCAACTGGACCATAGCTGCAGGCCTGGTGGGCCAGGGTGGGGGACCGCGTTGATTCCTTGGGCTGTTCTTACTCCTTCACAAAACCCAGCTTCATGACCTGGCTCTCGGGGCTGGCATTTCTGGACTTCCATTTCTTTGTGCATAAAATCAAGTAAGAAGGTGTCACATGCCCAGCACAGAGTGACGGCTCTGTGAAGGGCAGTGCTCTCCTCCCCCACCCTTTCAGGTCAAGGGGAAATGCAGTTGGGGTGGGGACAAAGGTAAACACTTATTTGGGGTGGAGGCTTGCTTTATGAATCATCGTAACTCAGCTGAACGCAGCCCTCTGCAAACACTTGAGGTGTTCTTGGCGTGTTACTTTCTTGAATGATGTTGCGTGGTGCTGGTGGCAGGGCGGCGGGTGTGTGTGTGTGTGTGTGTGTGTGTGTAATTGTCCCTTCCTATATAAAAGTGTGGCCTGACTTGTCCTGGATGCACCTGTCTGTAAGGAACCCTGCTCACCACAATGGTAGGTAACTGAGTGGGTACATAGAGACCAGAAAGGAGGGGGGAAGTGTCTTCCTTATTTCACTTCTACTTGTACTGGAGCTCACGGGGTGCATTTAATGGTGAGTGGATCTAGTTAGGAATCTTCCGCATGTGACTTGCAGTTCAACGTGTAGAGTAGAAAAAGGGTCTGGGGACTCTGGGAAATCCTAACGAGTTCCCTAAGATCTGAGTTGCTCTAGAAACTCTGGGGTTCAGTGAGGTCTCTGGTGTCTCTGATTCTTGGGGCCTATTTGAGTGGCTGGTGAGATGGAATGCAATGCCGGACCAATCATTGCACCATTTTATAGATAAACTGAGCCTGGGGACTGGAAGAGACTACAAGCCTATAGGGGAGCTGAGTGCAAAGCCAGGGGTTGCTCTCTGCAGCAGGATCGCCTGGGAAACCTCGAAAAATACTGACAGGAGCTCCCAGACACTCGGATGTAATTGGTCTGCAGTGAGAACAGGGTTTTTGTTTTTTAACATTTATTTACTTATTTTAAAGGTCAAGGTCTACAGAGAGAGGGAGAGGGAGAGAGAGAGAGAATCTTTCATCTGCTGTTTCACTCCCCAAAGGGACTGGGCCAGGCTGAAGCCAGAAGTCTGGAACTTCATCCGGCTCTCCCATTGAGTGGCAGGTGCCCAACTACTTGAAGGGCCACCCTCTGCTGCTTTCCCAAGCACATTAGCAGGGAGATGGATTGGAAGTGGAGCAGCCGGGACTCAAACCATGACCCTATGTGATGCCAATATTGCAGGTGGAGGCTTAACCCCCTGCCCCACAACACCAGCTCCTATCTTATTAATTTGAAAGGCAGAGTGACAGAGAGAAGTGGAGAGACAGAAAGAGCTCTTCCATCCATTGGCTCACTCTCCAAATATCTGCAGCAGGCAAGGCTGGCCAGGCAAAGCCAGGAGCCTGGAGCTTCATCTAGGTCTACCTATGTGGGTGGCAGGAACCCAGGCACATTAGCAGGGAGGTGGATCAAAAGTGGAGCAGCTGGGATTCAAACCAGCACTCTGATAGAGGATGTCCCAAATAACACCTTAACTTACTGCACCACAGTGCCAGCCCCCAGATCCCTTAGTCTGTGAACTCATGAATGCTCCACCCACATGACCTAATCACCTCTGGGGGGGGGGGGTCCTACCTGTTAGTGCCTTCCCATCTGGGTTGAATTGTTACAGGAGTTTGGGTGACGGCATTCAAAGCATAGCATGCATGCAAGACAAACTAACTTTTGGGTGGGGCCGGGGAGCGGGCTGTTTCTGAGACACTGTCACCTGGGTAATGCACCCTCTTAGTAAGATGATCTCCCATGGGTCACTGTCATTCAGTCTCGTGCATCTCCAGCACCCCCAGGAGTCACATCCTGCAAAGTCTTCATCTCCCTGAGTGCCCCAGGTCCTGCCACCACCAGCCCCGCCCACTTGCCAGGTGCTTTTCTGAATCATCCCTGGTTCTTAACCAGCTCTGTTCTTGGGCGAGTAGTGTTTTTCCATTTCCCACTGCTATGGGGAGGAGTCTTTTCTGAAGATCAAGTCTGGGAAGTGAAGAAGTGAAGATTGGCATTGTAAACGGTGTTAAGGAGTTTGATGCACGCTCTCAAATTGCATGCCCTAACCATTGTTCCAGCCGACTGGCCCTTGTGCCTCTCACATCTCACCCATGCTGTCTGTTTCCCTCCGGGTGTTATAAATTAAATGGTTATTCTCGCCATACCATTATGGTTCTATTTTATACACATTTTACATTTGTTTTGTTTTCAGTAAGTTGAACTTTTTTCGTGCTTGCTCATCATGTTTCATTGTGTCTATGCATGGGTGTGAAATGCCTTTTTTTTAAAAAAAAGATGTATGTATTTATTTGAGATGTGGAGTTACAGTGAGAGAGAGAGACAGAGAGAGAGGTATTCCATCCACCGGTTCACCACAAATGGCTGCAACTGCTGGAACTGGGCAGATCTGAAGCCAGGAGCCAGGAACTTCTTCCAGGTCTCTCACGTGGGTGCAGGGGCCCAAAGATTTGGGCCATCCTCCACTCTTTCCCAGGCCACAGCAGAGAGCTGGATCATAAGAGGAGCAGCTGGGACTCAGACTGGTGCCCATATGCGATGCTGGCACTGCAGGCGGAGCTTAGCCCACTACGCCACAGCGCTGGCCCCAAAATGCCATTTTTATACTAAAATGTTTTTCTTTTTCTATGAGATGACAGTCTTCCTGTAATGATACTATTTTCCAAATCTGATATCTTTTTAATTTTATTTATATTTTTGCAATTTTTTACATACTCAAATCTATTTTTTTCATACTGCATAAGATAAATATTTGCCAATATTTTCTGTGGTTATTTTATTATCTTGTAAACATTTGAGCCTTGAATCCTTTTCAAGCTTCTTACATTGTGGGAACTAAAGTAAGAAACTTATTTCTTCCCCACACAGTGCCTCACTTGTTCTAAAACCATTTAATGAATCATTACTCTCCTCAAAGACCATGCTTATTTTATAACAAACTTTCATACAGATTTATGAGTACTTTCTGGGTTCTCTATTTGGTTATGTATATTTGCACTTCTATTCTTTTTAATTTATTTTATTTTTTATTTTTATTATTTTTTAAGATTTATTTATTTATTTGAAAGGCAGAGTTACAGAGAGGCAGATGGGGGGAGAGAGAGAGAGAGAGAGAGAGAGAGAGGTCTTCCATCTGCTTGTTCACTTCCCAGATGGCTGCAACAGCTGGAGCTAGGCCAATCTGAAGCCAGGAGCTTCTTCCAGGTCTCCCACGTGGGTGCAGGGGCCCAAGTTGGGCTCAAGGACTTGGGCCATCTTCTACTGCTTTCTCAGGCCGTAGCAGAGAGCTGGATTGGAAGTGGGGCAGCTGGCACTCAAATTGGCCCCCATATGGGATGCCAGCACTGCAGGCGGTGGCTTTACCTGCTATGCCACAGAGCCAGCCACAGGCTAACAACTTTTAAGTGTCACAGGTTTTAAGGATTCTGCAGAAACAACAACAACAAAAAAAAAAAAAAAAAAAAGAAGAAGAAAAAAACCCTGTAGTTTAGAATGCACAGAAGTTTGTGCATTTTAGTTAATGTACTTTGTAACCTAAGTTATTGCAGGATAATTCTGTCATGTATCCTGTTTGTATTTGTTGGTGTAGTTCTCATGACAGACTACACACATTTTTGTCAATCTGTACTTTTTTCAAATATTGAAAACCTTATTTTTTAATTCTTTGCATTTTTCAATTACAGAAAAGCACTTCAAGTTTTTTATGTGTGAACATTACATATAAAGCCTTTAAAACACATAACTTTCAGTGCAAAAAGAGAAAGTACAAGGTGGGAGTTGTGGCACAAGAGGATTCAACTGTGGATTACCAGGCCAGTGTCCCGTGTCCAGTGCTGGCTCGGGTCCAGGCTGCTCTGCTTCTGACCAGCTTCCTGCTAACGCTCCTGGGAAGGCAGTGGAAGGTGTCTCAGGTACTTGGGCTCCTGCCACCTATATGGGAGACCCAGGTGGAGTTCCTGGCTCCTGGCTTCAGCCTGGCCCAGCCCCTGCTGTTGGGGCCGTGTGAGGAGTGAACCAGCAGATGGAAGGTCTCTCCCTCTCTCTCTCTCTCTCTCTCTCTCTGTCACTCTGCCTTTCAAATAAATATTCTTAAGTACTCTCACCCCATCTTTGTTTTTAGAAGATTCCTGGGGATTATCATTTTAAAGTTAGTTTGTGCAGTTTATCTAGGAAAGATGACAAGCGTAACCTGATCCTTCTCCTTGTCCTTGATTTCAGCCTAGATCGGTTGGTCTGTTCATATGGTCGGCAGCGATGCCTTTGTCATCTAGAAAATGAAAAAAATCATCTGATCCTCATGCTCACAGCTTTGCTTGCACCTGTCTTTCCTCTGGGACCCCCAGCTGACCCAGCTAGCCCAAGAAAGCCCCAGCCAGAGTCTCTTCCCCTTTATCTCTTCCTGAAACTCTTCCACCCCTTCTCTCTTGCAGATTCTTGCTAAAAACGACCCTACCCAGAAAGGCTTCCCCGACCGCTCTGTGATAAGTAGCACATGGGCATCATAGCTCCAGGACCTTGAACTCACAACTCAGTCTTTCTTTGGCTCATGCTCTGCACTTGCACAGGTCTTGCTCCATGAGGGTGGCAGCTCCATCTTCGCACACCTGCCAGGACCCAACCCTCTGGGTTCATTCATTCTCCGTCTTCACTCCTCTTCATGTTACAGAACACTCTGCTGGGCAGCCTTGTGGTCTTCGCCAGCCTCTTGGTGTTGTGCAACACGCAGTGCTATGTCGAACTCTACGACAAGAACCCGGAGGATCCCCCTGATGGTGAGTCCCCATTCTCCAGCGTTGATTATGTCACTGCAGCCTGGGAGATGTGACCTGTGCACTGGTGCTGAACACCTTTGAATCTGCATAAGAAAGAAGGTCAGGGCAAATATAGAGATGGTGTCAAAAGGATTCCAACTTAACCCTAGCTAGGTGAGAGTTGACTTTTTTCTTCTTTTGAAACTTACCAGCACTCAAGTCCCATCCAATCTAAAACCAGGTAGGCAAATGAGAATCACTGGGGTGTGAGCTGCACATTAAAAGCTCCTTGATGGGGTGAGCATTTGGCTTAATAGTTACACTGTGGCTTGGGACCCTGTATCCCATACTAAAGTGCCTGGGTTCAAGTCCCAGCTCTGCTACCAATTCTAGCTTCCTGCTGTTGTGCGTCCTGGGAGGCAGCAGATGACGGCTCAATTCATTGGGTCCTTGCAGCTCATGTGGGAGACCTGGATGGAGTTCTGGGCTCCCAGCTTTGGCCCTGGGCCACACCAAGGTTGCTGTGGGCATTTAGGGAGTGAATCAGCAGATGGGAGCACCATATGTTGCTCAAAAATAAAATAGAATAAAAGCTCCTTATTTGACTATGAAGTGGGGCACAGCCCTGGGTCAGTGGCTCTGCAGGCAGATGTGGGAGTCTGCGTGTCTCATGCCACCCCAGGTGATGTTGCAACTGGTCCTTCCGGGACACTGGGACCACATGGATGCAAAGCAGAGGATTGTACCCTTGGTTAAACATTTGAATTCTTGGGGAGTTTCTTTTTTTTTTTAAGATTTATTTATTTTATTTGAAAGAGTTACACAGAGAGGAAAGGCAGAGAGAGAGAGAGAGAGAGAGAGAGAGAGAGAGAGAGAGAATCTTCCATCTGCTGGTTCACTTCCCCAATGGCTAAACTGGCTGGAGTTGGGCTGATCCAAAGTCAGGAGCCAGGAGCTTCTTCCAGGTCTCCCACGTGGGTGCAGGGGCCCAGGGACTTGGGTCATCTTCCACTGCTTTCCCTGGCCACAGCAGAGAGCTGGATTGGAAGGGGAGCAGCTGGGACTCAGACTGGTGCCCATATGGGATACCGGCGCTTCAGGCCAGGGACATTAACCCGCTGCACCACAGCGCCAGCCCCGGGGAGTTTCTTAAACATGTGGTGGCCTGGGCTTCACACCCAGAGACTCTGATTTCCTTGCTCTGGGGTGGGTCCCAGATGTAAATTTTTTTATTTCAAATTTTCCATTATCTATTTTGTTTATTTGATAGGAAATGGAACAGGGAGAGAAAGAGACGGAGACAATGAGCTTCCAAACCCTGACTGGTCCACTCCTGAGATAGCCCAAATGCCCACCTCCAAGTGTTCAATTTTAAAAAAATTATCTTATGTATTTTAAAGGCAGAGTTACAGAAAGAGAGGAAGGGACAGAGAGAAAGTATGAGAGTGGGGAGAGAGAGACGTTCCATCCACTGAGTTTCCCCATGTTGAGTGCCAGGGGCCCAACTAACTGAGCCATCTTCCACTGCTTCCCCAAGCACATTAGGAGGGCACTGGGTAGGAAGTAGAGCAGCTGGGACTCAAAGTGGCACCCATGTGGGATGCCGGCCTCTCACAGGTCCCTGTAGGTGGCTTTGAAGTGCCCCGTATGTGTCACATGTTCACCCAGGGTTAGGGACCGCCGATGCAAAACATAGGGAGGTGCTGTGCTGAGGTATTTCTGCAGAGAGAAGCCAGCAGGAGAGAACTTGGTCCCACAGAGCCCATGTTTGTCCTAGCTGTCTGATTAAAGAGGAGGGCTTTATATCTCCAAATGTCTGTCCGGAAATAAAACCTGCAGGGATTCAAGCTTTGTGACAAAACGTCACCAACGGCAGGTTCTGCACGGCAGCACCTTTCCCGGACACCATGGTCACATGGCAGGGGGCTGGCCTTCCTGTCCTCATGTGCCCTGCTCCCGCCAATGCTCCCGATGATGTCGCTTGTGTTGTCTTAGAATGCAGGGACCTTGATGGAGTCACACACAAGCTGAACGTGGAGTGGAAGACTGAGAACTGTTACACATGTAGTTGTGATGAGACTGGAATTCATTGCTGCAACACGTGAGTCACGCGGGTAGTGGCGGAGAGAGGAACAGCACTGCTCCTTCTTTGAAAACCCTGTATTTTGGGGCATCCTTGTTTGTTTTAAATAGGCTTTTTTATAGGCATTTTTAAAGAGCCTCTTGGATTCCCAGCAAAATTGAGCAGAGCTAGAGCGATTTCTCATACACCTCTGCCCCCATACATGCACTGTCTCCCTGTTAGCAGTGTCTTCCACCAGCGGTGCATTGGTTACTGACCTCACATGGACTCATCCTTGTCACCCAATGGCCACAGTTCACATTCACTCTTGATGTGGTGGTGGGGGTTGAGGGATGGAAGTCATTTTTAGTCCTATTTCTTTTATTCTTTATGTAATTAATTGCACACACACACACACAGAGACAGAGAGAGAGACAGAAAGAGAGATAGAGATCTCCCACGTGTCAGTTCACTCCCTAAATGCCTTCCTGCCAAGACTGGGTCAGGGAGCCAGGAACTGAATCCAGATCTGCCAGACTCCCATGTGGGTGGCAGGGACCCAAGGACTTGAGCTCTCACTTGCTGTTTCCCGGAGTGTGTATTAGCAAGAAGCTGGAATCTTGAACTGGGACCCCAACCCATGGACTCCAACATGGAATGCAGGCAATCCCAGGGGTATCTTAACCACTAGGCTGAATGCCCACTCCTCTCTTCCTTCTTTGGCTTGTGGTGGAATACGTAGCACATTAAACGTACCGTTTCAGCCATTTGTAAGTATACACTTCAGTGGCGTTAAATAAATTCATGTGGCTGCCACCCCCCTGCCATGCCCTTCATCCTGAAGAACTGGGATTCTGCACCCAGTCAACACTGCCCTCGCAGGGGCTGGTGCTGTGCTGCAGAGGGTTAACACCCTGACCTGAAGCGCTGGCATCCCATATAGGCACAAGTTCTAATTCGGGCTGCTCCTCTTGCAATCCAGCTCTCTGCTATGGCCTGGGAGAGCAGTAGAAGATGGCCCAAGTCCTAGGGGCCCTGCACCCATGTGGGAGACCTGGAGGAGGATCCTGGCTCCTGGCTTCAGATTGGCGCAACTCCGGTGGTTGTGGCCGGCCATCTGGGGAGTGAACCAGTGGATGGAAGATCTCTCTCTCTCTCTCTGTGTCTACCTCTCTGTAACTCTGTCTTTCAAATAAATAAAATAAATCTTAAATTAAAAAAAAAAACACTGCCCTTGGGGCTTGGCAAACACCATCTGTCTCTATGAATTTGACTGTTCCAGGCTCCACATGTAAGTGGAATCATGCACGTGTTGTTTGTCCTCTTGAGACTGGCTTCTTCACAGAGTGTGGTGTCCTCCGAATTCACCCATGTTGTGGCCGGTATCAGAATTTCCTTCCTATTTGAAGGTGGACTAACACTTCATTCTGCACATTTTGCTTAGCCATTCGTCTGCTGGTGTACACTTGGCTGCTTCAGTTTTATTTCCTTTATGTTGCTTTTGGAACTTGGTCAACGCCTTCTCTTTAAAAAGTATCTGTTTTATTTATTTGAGAGACAGGTAGGGCGAGCTGCCGCCTGCTGGTTCACTTCCCAGATGTCTGCTACGTCTGGGATTAGGCCAACAGATGCTGGGAGTGGGAACCAATCCATGTTGGTGGCAAGCCTCAACCACTTGAGCCACCGCTGCTGTCTCCCAGGGTGTCCATTCTCGGGAAGCTGGAATTGAGAGCAGAGCTGCCTTCAACCCACTACTCAAATGTGCGATGAGGCCACTCAGCCAGCAGCTTAGCCTCTAAGCCCCCAAATGCCCACCCCAGTTTCCTTATTCTTTGTTTAAAAGATTTATTTATTGGGGCTGACTCTGTGGTGTAGGAGGTTAAGTCTCCACCTGCCATGCTGGCATTCCATATGGGCGCCAGTTCAAGTCCCAGCTATTACACTTCTGTTCCAGCTTCCTGCTAATGGCCAGGGAAAGTAGTGGAGGATGACCCACGTGCTTGGACCCCTGCACGCACATGAGAGACCTGAATGAAGCTCCTGGTTCCTAGCTTCGGATTGGCCCAGCTCCAGCCCTTGCGGCCATTTGGGGAGTGAACCAATGGATGGAAGATCTCTCTGTCTCTCCCTGTAACTCTGCCTCTCAAATAAATAAGTATTTTTAAAAATATTTATTAAAATATAAAATATATAATATAATTTATATTATTATATTTATTTATTTGAGAGGCAGAGTTACAGAGGGGAGGGAAGAGAGAGAGAAAGAGAGAGAATCATCCCTTGGTTCACTCCCCAAATGATTACAATATCAAGGGCTGGGCCAGGCCAAAACCAGGTGTCTGGAACTTCATCTGGGTCTCCCAAGCACTCAGGTCATCTTCTGCTGCTTTCCTAGGCCATTAGCAGAGAGCTGGATGGGAAGAGGAACAGCCGGAACTTGAACCAGATGCCCATATGCAGGTGTCACTTTTCCCTGCTGCAGCACAGCGCTGGCCACAGTATCATTAGCCTTAAATCTCTGTATCCAGAGGGGTTCTTGGAGACAGGAAAGCCTATGCAGTGGTCGATGTTATTGGAGAAGCTGGCCCAGCCATCGGTGCAGCCTTGGCCTTGGCCACTAGGAGGAGCAGGCGGTGCTGGATGTGAGGTGTAAGGAATGAGGGCGCAGCGTGTGTACCTTGTGCTGTCAACCCTATGTTGTGCTGCTGGGAGTTCTACCCACCCACGTCAGCTCAAAGGTCATGCAAATGTGTTCTGCTGGGGTGCTGTGGACACCAAAGTCTAGACTGGGGAGGAGACAACACAAAATACCCACAGGTCTGTCCACACCAGCCACCCTACTCCTAGCCCCCTGCCCCAATCCATCTGCCATCCACATCAGCTCTGGCCTGTGGTGTTTCACAAGCACGTGAGTGGCCTTGACGGGAGCACGTGTGTAAAGCAGCTTTCCCACGCTTGCTGGTCACAGAGTCCTCTGGGAGGCCAGGTGAAATGCAGATTCCTGGGCCCTACCCCAGAGCCTCTGATCAGAATCCATAGGGGAGAGACCACGGAACCTGAATTTTTTAAAAAATATTTTTATTTATTTATTTGAGAGGTGGAGCTACAGACAGAGAGAAGGAGAGACAGAAAGAAAGGTTTTCCATCCGCTGGTTCACTCCCCAGATGGCCACAATGGCCAGGATTGGGCAGATCTGAAACCAGGAGCCAGGAGCTTCTTCCAGGTCTCCCACATGGGTGCAGGGGTCTAAGCACTTGGACCACCTTCTTTTGCTTTCCCAGGCATATTAGCAGGGAGCTGGATCAGAAGTGGAGCAGCAGGGACTTGAACTGGTGCCCACATGGGATGCTGGCACCACAGGCAGAGGTTTAGGCTACTGTGCTGCAGCACCAGCCCAGGAACCTGCATTTTAACCAGGGCTTCCAAGAATCTGATGACAACTCCAGGGAGTAGGGGAGTGATCTTCTGACCCAAACCAGAACACTTGAATCTCATTAAAGTTCGCATGGCTGGCAAGTGCCACTCACATTTGTGAAGCAGGTGCCAATGCTAAGTACCTACTGGAACAAAAGGCATATGGAACCGGGCCTCCAGCTGGCTGCCCGCCCAGAGCAGGCTCCCAGGCATCTACTGGCTGGGTCACTGTGTGTTCCATTTGAATCTTGATGTTGTGGCCCCAGAACCTTGAATTCTCCCTTGTGTCGAGTGTCAGTGGGACCCTGGTGTGCCTGGCTGGGTTAAGGGCTGGTGAACTGTGCCTTACTCCCACCGAGGGCACCTCCGTGGTGGCATCCCCATCCCATCAGTGCTGTATCATCACGTCCCATCCATGGGACCCTCTTCTAAGGTTCCCATGGACCCCGAGTAGAAATCAGCCAGGGCTGCCCCAGGCAGTGAGGTGGGAGGAGCCTCGATGCAGGAGTCTCAGTGAGCTTACTCAGCTCTGGCTTGTTGCATGCATTTGGGAAGTGAACCAGCAGGTGGAATCTCTCCCTCCCCCCATATCTCTGCCTCTCAAAAGATAAAAATCCATTTGCTCAGCAAACACGTCAGGCCTTCTCTGTGTCAGTTCTGAGCGCCCTGAGCCTGGAATGGCAACTAGCACGTGGTTGGGGTGAGGGTGCCCTCTCCCTCTCTGCTGCTATGTTGCCTGTCCACAGGAAGTATGCTCACTTCTCTCTGCTGCTCAGAATCAACCCCTTCCCTGGAATTGCTCCATTGCTTACCAAGTTCGTTTTTCTCATGAACTCCTCTCTCTCCCTCTCCTGACCAGAGCAAAATACAGATTTTGATTAAACTTTCTTTGGGAGAATTTCCTGGATCCTTGCACCTTACTTGAGACACAGGTAGATTTCCAAGTGGCAGTAGCAGTGGAGCCTGCGGCTGGAGGCCCAGGCAGAGGCTGCCCCCATCAGGGGGTGGGAGATCTCCTGGCCTCCCCACCTCCCAGCCCCTGCTGTATGACCGCAGTGAAGGAGTGAGCTGTGGAGGCAAAGGCCCAAGGTCATCCAGCCCCCAGCGCTGAGACACCCCTAATGTTCCAGTTTTCCCTTCTCATTCTCTCTTTAGCTGTTTCAGCTACAGAATTGGGTCTGATTTAAATGAAAATATGCATCCAGTAATATGCCCTTTGCCACTGCAACTTGTACCTGCACGCAGACAACAGAATTACACAATTTCATTTCCTACTAAAAACTTGTAAAAAAAAAAAATCTCACCTAGGGGCCAGCATTGAGATGCAGCAGGTTAAACTGCCACTTGGGACACCCACATTTCATACTGGAGTGTTGTTTCCAGTCCTGGCTGCTCTAGTTCCAGTACACTTGGGAGAGAGCAGATAACAGAGCAAGTGCTTGGGATCCTGACTCCCATGCGAGAGACCCAAATGGAGTTCCAGGCCCCTGGCTTTGGCCTGGCCCAGATCTGGCTGTGGGGGCATCTGGGGCAGTGAATTGGCAGATGGAACATCTCTCTCTATCTCTGTGTTGCTCTGCCTTTCAAGTAGATGAAAACCAACAGACTTTAAAAAAAAAAACTAAGAATATCTCTTGAACAACAACCACTTTCCTTTTTAATGTTTTTTATTGTGGTAAAATCTATATGACCAAACATTTGCCAGTTTCACCACTTCAAAGCGTACAGTTCAGGGCCGTGAAGTTCATGCACAGCCAGAGGCACCCATCACCGCCATTTCTAGAACTTTCCAGGGACTCCAAACCAAAACTCCCCGTGTATGCAGTCCTACCTCCCCCTCCTCCTCCCCCAGTCCCTGAGAACAACTAATCTACTGTCTCTGTGGATGTGCCTAGTGTAGATCTTTCTTGGAACAGAATTGCACATTTATCTTTTGCACTCTGCATATTTCGCTCAGCAGCACGTTTGCAGGGTTCATCCGTGTTGCAGCCTCTTTCAGTAATCCCTTCCTTTTGAAGCCTGAAAAATATTCTGTGTTATCAGAGTAGCCTATTTTACTTCCGTTCCTGTGCTGACGGACCTGTGGGTTGCCTGCACCTCTTGGCTGTAGTGGGTGCTGCTCTACAGTATGGTTGAGTCCCTGCTGTCAGTTATTTGGGAGCGTGTACCTGGGGTGGAGTGGCTGGGTCTCATAGTGTGTATTTTTTTTAACTCTTTGAGAAACTGCCCATCTGTTTTCCACAGTGGTCACAACATTCACATTCCATCCTGTAAGCAACCATATTTTTTAACTTAAAATATTGTTGGATTCAATTTTATCAGTAAGCATTCTTTTAAAAAAGTTATTTATGTATTTGAAAGGCAGTTACAGAGAGAGAGGGAGAGAGAGCGCAAGAGAGATCTTCCATCCAATGGTTCACTCCCCAAATGGCCACAGCATCCAGGCTGGGCCAGACCAAAGCCAGGAGCCAGGAGCTTCTTTCAGCACTCAGGCCATCTTCCACTGCTTTCCCAAGTGCATTAGAAGAAAGCTGGATTGGAAATGGACTTTGAACTGGTGCCCACATGGGATACTGGCATCACAGGTAGCGGTTTAACCCTCTACGCCACAACACTGGTGCCCAAACAACCATTTTTAACATTAAAAGTTTCAGTAATAATTTCCCAAGTTTTCAGTATAAAACATAGTAATTATAGCACTATTGGAAAGTATAGGAATAAAATATATTTATAATCTCACTGCTTGAAGGTAACAACGATTAGTATCTTATCCTGATTTTCTTCTAGCTCCTTTTTAGGTTTTGTTTTAAATATTTATTTATCTGAAAGGCAGAGTTATAGAGATGGAGAGAGAGGAGGGAGAGGAGAAAGAGAGAGAGAGAGGTCAACCATCCACTGGTTCACTCCCCAGATGTCCACAACAGCCAGAGCTGTGCTGATCCGAAGCCAGGAGCCAGGAGCTTCCTCCGGGTCTCTCACGTGGGTTCAGGGGCCCAAGGACTTGGCATCTTCTACTACTTTCCAAGGCCACAGCAGAGAGCTGGATCAGAAGTAGAGCATCCAGGCCTCCTGGCTTCAGCTGCAGCATACCGGCTGCAGCGGCCATTGCAGGGTGAACCAACAGAAAAGGAAGACCCTTATGTCTCTCTCTCTCACTGTCCACTCTGCTTGTCAAGAAAAAAAAAGAAGAAGTAGAGCATCCAGGACTCAAACCGGCACCCATATGGGATGCCGGCCCTGCAGGTGGTGGCTTTACCTGCTATGTCGCAGCGCCAGCCCCCCAACTCCTTTCTACACTTTTTTTTTTTTACATGACAGATACCAAACTCTAGGTTGCAATTGTGTAGTCTGGGTTTTCCACTCAATAGTCTAGCATTAACACTCTCGCACCTCATCAAAACTCTTGCAAACATTCAAGCTAGTCATTCCTTATTCTTCAAACAGATTCAGTGCTGAACCCCAGCACTGAAGTCAAGTCTCGAGCGTTTGCTTCCACTCGCGTGCAGCATGAGCCAGCAGGAGATTGGTGTGCGAGTGCCCTGACACCACTGGCCCAGAGGGAGCGCCATCCTCAGGTGTCTTGGGAGGAGTCAGGCAGTTGAGATAGAAGAAAGACCCTGGCTTTGTTGGTGGCCAGTTGAAAGGAAAGTGAGGGTCATCTTTTGTCACAGAGGGTGGTGGGGAGCGGCTGTGTGTATGCACCTTTTGGGCAGAGACAGTTTAAATTTAGGGTTTACGCATGAGCTTCAAGGGACCAATGGGCCCCCAAATTATTTGCCCCACTGAATGTGGGGGTGAATATTCTGAGGGAGATGGTCCCCAGTCTTCAACTCCTTCCTGGGCCCCATGATCCCAGCCTGGAGTGGCTCTCTTTGCTCCTGTGGGTTGAGATGGCTCCTCTTCTAACTTCCTTCCTGCCAAGCTTGGGACAACCTGACCACTTCCTGAACAGGGACACCAGGGACAGCCAGGCTGGAGCCACCTGCCTGGCCCCAGAGCAGCCCAGGCCTGCCTCTGGGGCTATCAGAACTCCGGGCCATCCTGGGCAGGCCAGATGGACTGCATGATGGATGGCAGGGATGGTTTGTATGACTCTGCAGAATGGGCAGGTGCAGGTGCCCCGGGGGCCACGCTGTGGGGCTGACAGCAAAGGGTGCCATCCCGTTGATGATGGCGGTTGCAAGGTGGGGGGAGAGGATCCACTGTAGTGTGGCCCTGGCTGGGCTGGGGTGGGGGTGGCATGGGGGGGTCTTTTCCTAACAGGGCTTGGTTTTTCTCGATGACAGTGCTGCCATCCCCGGAGGTTTTGATACCACAAAGTGCAAGACGATCTTCCACAAGAACACTTGCAGCTACTCCGTGGTGGAGCTGGAGAACCCGGACAAGGAATGTCCAGTCAGCTCGTGGATCCTGTGAAGAGCTAGCGGCCCCAGGTCCTCCCGCGGGCCCGGACAGCCCGATGTACAGCCCTGCTTATCAGTAAAGCATGTGTGGAGCAATCACTCGGCTGTGTATGCATTGATTGCGCATTTTAAAGCATGTGAACTGAAGAGAAGAAAAGTGGAATAAAGGTTATGCCCATGTGCCCGCACCCAGCGTCCCCCGTCCCAGCGCCGGGCCACCCCTGTGGTTTCTGCCTGCGGCCTGCTCTCTGCTGGGCAATGAACACAGTCTATGAGTCTTTGGGATGAGATGGATCCTTTCCCTGTTTGGGGGTGTTTGTGTTTATCCTCCCTTCCCCTTCATGGGCGAGGGGCCTCTCTCTCTGCTGTGGCTCCCCACGAGCTGCTGTGTTTGCCTGAGGATAGAACAGGTCAGAGCAAGGCAGCCGGGAGAAGTGTCCAAGTCCTGGTACAGCACAGGGTTAAAGAGGCCAAGGCTGAGAGGGCGTGGCCTGAGGGAGCCAGGGCTGATGGGTTGTGGCCTGGGGAAGCCTGGGCTGAGGACCTGGCCTGGGGCAGCCAGGGCTGAAGGGGTGTGGCCTAGGAGCAGCTGGGGCTGAGGGGCATGGCCTGAGGAGTGAGGGCTGAAGGGCGTGGCCTGGGGCAGCCAGCTCCCCTCCCAGACCACTGAAAACAGTGACTTAAAAATGCACTGTCAACTTCTGTTCAGCTGGGCCAGGCAGTGAAGGGGCACTGGCTGGGTATACGTGACAGGTCACCAACAAGCCACTGGCCATCGGCCTCACAGCGTGTGGGCAGCTGATAAAGAGCATTCTCTCCCCTCTGGCCCGGCCCCATCTATGCAAACAGGCCACGTGGACGCGCTGAGCAGTGCAGCCGGGCCCCTCGGCGTCTTTGTCCACTCTAGATCGTGACTTCAGTTATGTCCAAGCCTTCCTGCAAACTCCGCGCCTGCGTCACGGGCATAGCCGTGGGCTTCTGGAACATTCCCCTACTGAGCCCCTCTCCACAGCTCACCTTCTGTATCCCTGCCGGTGCCTCCGCCACTTTCTACTCGGGCTGCCTTGCCCCTTGTTGAGTGGGACCCATAAGACCCCCTTTGGGGGCCGTCATTGTGGTGTGCCGGTTCGAGTCCCAGCTGCCCCACTTCCTATCCAGCTCTCTGCTATGTCCTGGGGAAGCAGTAGAAAATGATCCAAGTCCATGGGCCCCTGCACCCACTAGGGGGACCCAGAAGCTCCAGGCTCCTGGCTTCATCCTGGCTCAGCCTTAGCCATTGAAGCCATTTGGGTAGTGAACCCGCAGGTGGTGGACCTCTCTCTCTCTCTCTCTCTCTCTGTAACTCTGCCTTTCAAATAAATGAATTAATTGTTTTAAAGCTCCTATTACGATATTCCACTTGGCTGGGAAAAGTGGAAGCAGTTGTCAGTGAGTGTGGAGCCCCCTCAGGTATCTGGCTACAAACACACTCAGAATCCCAACGTGGTAACGCGACCCTGGGAAGCTGGTGTGAGGAGGCACCACAGGGCAGGCAGGGTGTGCAAGATGGCCCTTAGGGAGCAGCTAAGTGTGCCTTGGGAGTGGTTCCAGGGAGTTGGAATCTGGGTTGACATTAGCTATTTACCCTATGCCCTTATAACAATGGGAAGAGGTTTCACTTGAGTCTTTCCAGGGATCGCTCCTCAGTCTGTGTGTATACCGGCCCGAAATGTCAAACCCTGGACCCCAGTCTCCAAAGGCCGACCCTCTAACAGCCAACCTGAGCACCTTTCCCTAAACAAGCCACCCATGAAGAGACAAGGAAGAGGCCTGCCTCCTCCCAACATCGGGTGACATGGAGGACCTCAAGGGTCTGGTGGACCAAGCCCAACACCTGTCCCTGACCCCTAGTCCAATGGGCCCGCTGCTGGTGGTGCTGATCTGTGCAGCCCTGATGTTAAACTCAGGCCGCCGGTTACCAGGCTGGGTTCCAGGATGGGCCCAGTGATTTGGCTTTCTGTCCGGGCACACAGTAACTGGACTGGACCCTGGGACCAGCCCTTCAAGGATGCAGTCAGGCAGCTGGTAGAGCAGACTAAGAGGACCCTTCGACTGATCATCGCTCTGTTATACCCATTGTCGCTGCGGTAGCTGGTGCGGCTGTCGCCATCGTTTCCCTCGTCCAAAGTGTTCAAACAGCTGACTGGTGAACAACGTCACTCAGCTAACGGCCACTCCCCTGTTTACCCAAAACCAAGCCACCAGTCAGATCAAAACAGCGATCCTGGCCTTGGAACAGGGGTTGGATTCACATCAGAAACAGATTGAACTGCTTTGGCAGACCATGCACCCCCAGTGTGACGTTGGCTTCACAGATGGTTCTGTCGCCAGCGTGCCTGTCTTAGACTGGGAAACTTGGTCTCATACCTTGTCAGCCTGTATTGGGGCTCTTGGATGGGCAGTTTTCTCAGGCGCTCTTCAGTTTAACCCAACAAATTCTAAAGCTTGACGCTACCCACATTTCTGCCCTGGTAGTCACCACCTTTACATAGGGCCTGGGTGATAACTGGTGGGGACCCGTGAAGTTTTGCTTACATCCCAACATGTCGATTATTGCAGAAGGGGGCAATAAAAAAAGTCTCAAGAAAGTGCAATTTCTTGTTTTTTTTTTTTTCATTTGTAATGTTTTTAATGAAGATTTATTTTATTTTATTCGAAAGGCAGAGCTACAGAGAGGGGGAGAGAGAGATATTCCATCCACTGGTTCACTCCCATATGGCCACAGTGGCCTGATCTGGGCCCAAGCCCAGAGCTGCTACCGGGTCTTGTATGCTGGTGCAGCGGCCCAAGCACTTGGACCATCCTCCGGATGGCTTTCCCAGGCACATTAGCAGGGAGCTGGCTCAGAAGTGGAGCAGCTGGCTGTGCTTTAACTGCTTTGCCACAACACTGGCCCCAATTTACAATTCCTTTTACTGAAGATTTGTACAAACTGCCTAGTGTAGGTTGTTGCATGAAAGAAAACCAAATTGACAGTATTTCGAGTTTACTAAGTCCTACATTGATTCTGACCAACTTGGCCTTTTACCAGTAAGTTGGATGCCAGGAAAAGAAGTACAGATTGGAGATCTTGGTGGGGGGGGGGTGCTGGTGGGGAAGGAACAGACAACAAAGAGTGTGAGAGCTGGAAGGTGGAGCTACAGATGACCTAGTCCAAGCCTTCATTCCACAGTGCCGATACTGGATCGTGGGCTCCTGCACCTGTCCTAACCACTTGGCACTGGTAAATGGCAATGGTTCTTTTCTCTGAGCCTATCATGGTGCTCCGTGGCCCTTGTTAGAGTTATCCAAGGTTCTGATACTTTGTGAGTTATTGAGGAGTGTGAATGTGGACTGAGGATCTTCAGGGAAGTTACTCCATTAGAACGTTCATTTTAAGATGGAGTGTTGGCAACTGAAAATTTATTAATACAGTACAGGAAGACTGTCGCTCCCCCTCTTCGTGGAGGATCGACACTAGACCCTGTGTTGTTCTTTCATCTGCTCGGCCCTCCCCAGGTTTGCTGCTGGTTCTTCCCGGGTTGGCTACCGACCCTTCCACCTCCGTGGAGGGGCGGGCCCCCTGCCACTTTCCCCACTTCCGCGGGGGAGCGGCACACCGCCAGCCGGCTCTCTTGGGGGCTGCTCAGGTGTTCCTTCAGATAGATGTTCCTGGTGCATGTTGTCTCTCTCCTCCTTTATAGTCCTCTTCCACCAATCCCAACTCTGCTACCCACACACCGAGTACGCTGCTCTCCTCCAATCAGGAGCAGGTCCTACAGTTTATTGGTTGAACTGGAGGCAGCTGTGTAGAAGCTGTTACTCCCTTCTCAGCGCCATATTGTGGGAGAGCAGATGCATAGAATAAGTCTTAATTCCAGTAACAGTCTAGTCCGAGTTGCTCCCCACAGAAGACCACGCCGGTCTTGGCTTCAGAACCTGGGACTAGACATTGGGAGCCTTAGTTCAAAGCCCCAATGTTACCCATGGCAGCTCTTGCCCTTTAGAATGGTCAGTTAAGCTGTGTGGGCCTTTGTGGCTTCATTTACGAAATGAGGGTGCTTCAATCAACCGATACTCAGGTTTTCAACTTCAAATTATGGTGTGTGTGGGTCACAGGTGGTTAGAGATCTTTGGAAATTTTTTGGTTAAACCATATGATAATAACTTAGCTTGCTTTGTGGTTAATTGCTCAATTTTGGTTCCATGATGTTTGAACTTCGGAATTGTATTCATGCAAACCATAGTATAAGTATGGTATATGTTGTTTATAGAACTCCTCTTTGAGGAGATATTAGGTTCTGTTTGAGGGTGTGTGTTTTTCTCTCCCTCTTTTTTTTTTTTTTTTTTTTGACAGAGTTCTCTCTCCCTCCTTTTAACAACCACCCCCTGCCCCACACTGAAACAATGATCATGGATCTAGAGGCAGGGAAGTTTTAGAAAGCACTAAACTTTCTAATTTCTTCTAAAAAAAATAAACATTTAAGACAACCCTCACTTGGAGGTGGTAGGAAGTAGTTTGGATTATTATTTTTTAAAGATTTACTTATTTATTTGAAAGTCAGAGTTACATAGAGAAGGAGAGGCAAAGAGAGGGAGGTCTTCCATCTGCTGGTTCACTCCCCAGTTGACTGCAATGCCTGGAGCTGTGCTGATCTGGAGCCAGGAGCCAGGAGCTTCTTCTAGGTCTCCCACATGGGTGCAGAGGCTCAAGGACTTGGGCCATCTTCTACTGCTTTCCCAGGCCATTGCAGAGCACTGGATAGGAAGTGGAGCATCTGGGACTTGAACAGGTGCCCACATGGGATGCTGGCACTGCAGGTAGCAGCTTTACCCACTGTGCCACAGTGCTGACCCTGAATAGGTTGGATTATAAATGTGAAGATAAGTAGAACTTTAAGTTTTTATTGATTTGAGTTTTTTAGATACAATTTGGTCCAATTTTACAGGTAGCAGAACTGGCAAAAGTATGTATGCTTGGGTTATAGTAGAGTGTTTTGACTATTGAGTTTTTTATTGTTAAGTGGAAGATTGGAGAAAAAGCTGATATTTATCAAAGCACCACCTCTTCCCCATAAGTGTGTGAGTCTATATTAATATCCTCACTGAATGGATTCGGAAGTTAGGATCAACAGGAGCAAATGGTGGTCCAACGTCAGAGCTCTAAGTAGTGACTAAAGGACGCTAACTCAGGGCCTTCTCGTTTCAGACCCCCTGACCTCCTGCTCCCAGTTTCTGTGCTGTCTTTTATACTCCTTTTTTTTTTTTTTTTTTTTTTTGACAGGCAGAGTGGACAGTGAGAGAGAGAGACAGAGAGAAAGGTCTTCCTTTGCCGTTGGTTCACCCTCCAATGGCCGCCGCTGCAGCCGGCGCACCGCGCTGATCCTGGCAGGAGCCAGGAGCCAGGTGCTTTTCCTGGTCTCCCATGGGGTGCAGGGCCCAAGCACCTGGGCCATCCTCCACTGCACTCCCTGGCCATAGCAGAGAGCTGGCCTGGAAGAGGGGCAACCGGGACAGAATCCGGCGCCCCAACCGGGACTAGAACCCGGTGTGCCGGCGCCGCAAGGTGGAGGATTAGCCTATTGAGCCACGGCGCCGGCTCAATACTCCTGAGGGGGAAATTCCTAAGCCGCCATCGTTGACCCAAACCCTCAGTGTTCAGATGGGCGAAGTGCTCCTAGACGGGGAGTGGCTCACGTCACCCTCGCTGCAGCCCTCTGTGGCTGCCGCTGTGTCAAAGTCACTGGAGGCCATTGTTTTTGACCAGTCTCCGGCACTAGGCCACAACAGACAAGGCCAAAAATCAACATGTAGTCATCCCTGCTAAAGTTCCATTTTCTCAAGCTGAAAGGATGTTGCTTGGCCTGCCAAGAAATGAGAGTTAGGGAGCATCCAAATGGACCAGTTTTCTTTGGTACAGTAGTGAAGTTCCCTCTGCTTGAATCCTTAGATCAGAGAGGTAGCCTGAAATAATCTGCTGTTAATTAACCATTGTTTTCTTGCTGGTGTAGTGCTCTCTCCTTTTCTACAAGGAAAGTAACTTGGAAATGATCAGTCTTTTCGTTCTTTTCTGTTTGCTGTCTTCAGCCTCTCCCAGCCCATAAAACCAACCTCTTCTGCTCAGCCCATCAGAGAGCTTCCACTTTATGTGATGAAGTGGTGCCTGAATCTAATTAAGGACTTCAGATGGTTCTAATTTGGTCCTTTGGCACTACTCTTGTCTCCATTGTTCAGAAGAAGTTGAGGTCCAGAGAGGTTAATTGACTGGCTCAGGGAGTCTCGAGCTTGCAGACGTAGACAGAACTCAGGCTTATCAGACTCCAGAGTGGTCTCCTGACCACCAGGCCTGCC